CTGGCGCTTCAAGGCTCCAGGGCTTTCAGCGAGGAGTTGAGGATTAATCGCTGTCTTTTTCCCAAGGGATCTAAGGACTCATATATTAAGGCTTTTGGGCCCAAAGACCATACTATATAAGGCTTTTGGGCTATCTTGATCCCTAGGGTTTTTCGTGGAGGATGAGTCTGGGTAGCAGAATCCCTAAGGGTCCATGTACCCAAACAGTATATACTTTGGCCCCCAAGTACCTATATAGTATAGGGTTTAGGGTTTAGGGTTTAGGGTTTAGGGTTTAGGGTTTAGTATATAGTATACAACATACTATTTCGGTACATGGACCCTTAGGGAATGATACGAAGAAGCGGATTTTATTGGGTCTCTAAGCCCTGATCGCTAAACAGGCTTTCCTGAGACTGTTTGGGCGTGTATCTTTGATTGCTCTCGGAGCCTGATGTAGGCGCCAGAATGATTAGAATAGGGTTTTGGGGAAATTATATTATGATTGTACTTAACAAAGAACCGTTTAGGGTTTAGGGTTTAGGGTTTAGGGTTTAGGCACAAATGAGTATTGGTAACTATTAAGGCCCCCTTTCCTAAGCCGGCTGAGACGACAACGGAAGCGCATTGGGGCTGTCATTTACAAGGTTTAGGGTTTAGGGCACGCGGCCCAAGGCCCCTCCAGGGCTTTCAAGGGGTGTTCTGAGGATTGCACGTAGGGATTTCGAATTAGGGTTTAGGGTTGTTTTGGTGGTTTCTAAGGGTTTTGTAAGGGGTATGTAGGGTTTTGTTTGAAGCAAATTATTAATAAGAGTTCAATCCCTCAAAGACTAAGCGACTAAACCGCAAGTAACTTGACCTAAACCCTAAACCTCAAGCAGTGCTGTGACTGCCACGGGCGTTCTGCGTCCGCCGTGCCTGCACCGCTGCTTGTCGCCACAAGCCCGGCCGCAGCCTGACAGTTGGGTTTAGGGTTTAGGGTTTAGGGGTTTAGGGGTTTAGGGTTCAAGGTTTATAGGGTTTAGGGTTTAGAGGGATATTCAGGGTTTCATACAGCTTCTGGGTTTAGCGGTTGGCGGCTTGGGATTCAGATGGATTTATGGCCCAGGGGGTCGAGGGATTTAGGGTTTAGACTGTAGAGCTGAGAGTGTAAATGGGGGTTTCCGAAAATAGGGGGTGCCTTATTCTGGGGTCCTTATAATAAGGATCCTACTATTTGGGGTAACTAGTATATTAAAACCCTAAACCCTAAACCCTAAAACCCTAAACCCTAAACCCTAAACCCTATTTTCGGAAACCCCCAAATCGCCCAGCCTGACCGGATGTGACAGCAGCCGCGAGCCGCGTCTCGATCCCGGCTTCCCTGCCGGTAGCTGTTTGGGATGTAGGGTCTTTGGGTTTAGGGGTTGGGTTTAGAGTCTTAGGGTTTGGGGTTTAGGGTTGGGATTTAAAGTCTTAGGGTTTAGGGTTGGGATTTAAAGTCTTAGGATTTAGGGTTGGGATTTTAAAGTCTTAGGGTTTAGGGTTGGGATTTAGAATCTGAGGGTTTAGTGGCTTGGGTTTAGGGGTTTAGGGCTTTAGAGTTTAGGGCTTCTCACCAGCATGGGATTTCCCCAATAATCGACCAGCTACCTATGTCGTAGGTTGCTGCGCCAAGCACCATAATTACGAATCTTCGACAGGGGCTAAGGAGGTTCGAAAACCAACCCAGTGTATAGTGGAGAAGGCAGCCGAGATCCCAAGACAACCTCTGCATAAGGAGCCCTCCCGTTCCGAAACCCCCCTAAACCCTAAACTCAAGTAGACCCCAAACTCCTAAACTTTCAACCCTCATACACCCTAAAACCATTATAAACCCTAAATTCTAAACCCCAAACCCCAAAAAACCCTACCTTTCCTTTCAACCATCATACACCCTAAAACCCTAATAAACCCTAAATCCTAAACCCCAAACCCCAAAAAAACCCTACCTTTCCGACAAGCCCGCGCCGTGTTCGCGCCTCAGTGCCGCGCCGGACAGAGGAGGCTCAGCCTTCTGCAACAGGGGCACTGCGACATGTTAGAGTTTAGGGTCTAGGGTTTGGGGTTCAGGATTTAGGGGTTTAGGGGTTTAGGGTTTAGAGTTTAGGGTTTAGGGGTTTAGGGTTTAGGGTTCAGGGTTTAGGTTCAGGGTCTAGCGTTTGGGGTTCAGGGTTTAGGGGCTAGGGTTAAAGTTTTAGGGTTTAAAGGTTTGAGGTATCAGACATTAGGATCTAGAGAATATGGTTGGGAGGTTACGGCTTAGGAGCTAGAGCTTAGAGCTTTTCTGGCTTAGGGTTTACTTTTGGGTTGAAGCTTAGAGGCTTCGAGGTTAGGATGGATTTAGAGTTTCTTGTTTTGGGGTCAGGGGCTTCGAAACCTAGACGCTGACCAACACGATCGGGCTTGCAAGGGTCCCAAATTAAGGGCCCACATACTGTAGGAGACCTTGGCAAGGACTAGCAAGGAAATGCAGGAGTAATGTAGACCTCAGATTAGCAAACTCCCTGACGGGCTTTGTTCACCTATTGTTGCCATTAATATTGCTGTGACTCATGCTCGTAGTGTCTAGACATGTAGAACCATGATCCCTTTGAAAGTCCGGCAGAGGTGTGATATGGGTAGTTCTCTAAATTAGGGCCCCGTCTAGTTCCCCAAAATAGTACGGCACCTTCCTAAACAAAAGGACCCTAACAGGGACCTAAACCCTAAACCCCAAACCCTTAAACCAATAAATCCCCAAACCCCTAGACCCTATACCCCCAAACCCCTTAACCCTAAACCCCTAAACCCCTAAACCCTACAGCCTCTAGCTTGGAGAGCTACCATATGGGGGTTTCCGAAAATAAGGGACCCTGATATAGTACCCTACATAGGAGAATCCTTGCTATAAGGAGCCCTAAATAAGGTACCCCTTGTTTTCGGAACCTCCCATTACTCCTAAACCCTAAACACCTAAATCCCTACACCCTAAACCCTCTAGTTTAGAGAACTACCATATCAATTAGTACGGCACCTTCATAACAAGGACCCTAGAAGGGACTCTAGTTTAGAGAACTACCATATCAGAGAGGCCGACGGCGGCCCAGGGTTCGGTGGTGGCCCGGGTTTGGAATACCTAAACCCTAAACCCTAAACCCTAAAACCCTAAACTTCCCTAAACCCTAAACCCTAAACCCTAAACCTCGGCTTCAGAGTTTTTTGAGTTCGTTCTACAGGGCTCTTCAGGTTCTCCGCGGGCTGCGGGCGAGGGTTTATAGGGTTTAGGGTTTTAGGGTTTTGGGGTCTAGGGGTTAGGGCTTTTGGGGTCTAGGTCTTAGAGCTTTTGGGGTTTAGGGTTTTAGGGTTTGGGGTTTGGGGTTTCGGGTTTAGGTTTTAGGATCTAGGAGTTTTAGGATGGGGGGGTTGATCATCTTCACGTTGTGACGACTGGATAGTAGGCACGATCCTCCCCATATGAAGGTGACGATGACTATGACCATGGCTAAGACTAGACTTCCGTACCCTAAAATCCGATCCTAAACCACGTTCGAGACCGAAGCCTGAATTGTCCGGAATTCGGTTTCCAACTTTCGGGGGTGTACTCTAAGCCCTAAGCCCTAAACGGTCCACGCCTGGAACACCCTAAGTTGTGCTTCCTCCCTTCCGGGGCGGGCCTTCTTTCCGGCCTCGACGGCTGCGAAGTAGTCTCCCCACTTGGCCTTATGGGCGCAGGAGACCCTCAGCCCAAAGCCCTTCCCTGGGTTTAGGGTTTAGGGTTTAGGGGTTTAGGGTTTAGGGTTTAGGGGTTTAGGGTTTAGGGTTTAGGGTTTAAGGGCTTCGGGTATAGGGTTTAGGGTTTAGGGTTTAAGGGCTTCGGGTTTTGGGTTTACCTTAAGAACCCAAAACCTACTTTTTTGTAGGGTCCCTATAAATCCCATAATCGGGTTTATAATAAGAACCTACAAAAAAGTGGGTTTTGGGTTCTTAAGGTAGGGCTTACTAGGATTATGGGTTACGAATTCAGGGCTTGGGGTATATAGAACCCTAAGGGTCCAAGTGCCCATTATTGTAGGACTTTGGGGCCTTTTTGGGCACTTTAAACCATACATAAGGACTACTTGGACCCTTAGGGGAAGTTTAAGGTTATAAGCTGTTTATAGGGGAAGTTCGGCCTTGTCGGCCTGAGAGCTTGCTGCGTCGCCTGTCCCTGGACGAGGCTTCGGTGGCTGGCCGGTCCGACCCAACTGGGCTACCCGGGTTTCGGCAAAATCTTAGTCCTTTAGGTTTTTGGGGTTTAGGGCTTAGGGTTTTAGGGTGTAGGGTTTTAAGGTTTTTAGGATTTTTAGTCCTTTAAGTATGCAAGATTTTTCGGCCAGCGACTGCGCGGGAATCAACCGGGAAAGCGGCTTCAAGCCCTGGGCCTTCCTGCTTGCAAAGCCTAGGGGCGGAGGGTCCGCAAAACCCGTTAAAAGTTAACCTAGCTGAACCTTTCCGAAATCTAGGGCACTCTGCTCCACGAACAGAAGCAACCGAATGCAAGCAGTTCGGTGTTCCCGCTCCGAAATCCAAGCTCCCACCAGTGAGCGGCCAGAGCGGCAAAATGCTGCAACAGCTTCTGATCTGCTAGAGGAACCCTCTTCTCAATGTACTCCTGCATCAAGCCCGGGATTTTCTGGGTGAACCCTTCCTTCCGGCCTTTGTTCACCGTCGGACTCCTCCTCGTCGTAGTGCACAAAGGTGTTCTTGACTTTTAGGTCTTTCTCCGTGGTCTTTTGAGCGTCCTTGAGAGCTGTGGTCTTGCGGCGCCTCGAGGTTCCGTGCACAATCCCAACTCGGTCAGGGCGTTGTCTTGCACGCGTTGGGCCACCACTTTGGAGTCCGTCATCTGGCGAACGAAAGCCTCCCGGGCCAGACGTCCCTTGATCCCGCCGGAGCTGTCGCCTCCGCTGCTCGAGCCTGAAGCCAGAACCCAGAGACTCCAATACCCCTTAATTAAGGAATATACCTTAAGTTATAGTAGGATCACTAATATGATTTAAGGTATATTCCTTAATTAAGGGGTATTGGAGTCTCTGGGAACATCCTGGACCCCGTCTTCGGACCGCTGGCTCGCAATGGCAAGCCTGAGCACAGTGTACGCTGAGTCTAGATCGTTGAGCGTGGAGGCTTCCGTTTCGAAGGCGGCCCGTTGGCTCTTGGCACATTACGCATGCCCCAAGGCTTTCTTATAGGGTGAGGGTTGCAGAAGAAGCTGCCACTGCCAACTTGTCAAGGGCTACATTTTAGGGTTCAGGGTTAAGGGTTCAGGGGCGTTCAGGGTTTAGGGTTTAGGGAGACACATAGGACTCCTTTTATTCAAGCCCCTGCATAAACAATGAGGCTGCCAACTCACGAAGACGAATCCCAAGCCCAAGAAGTCAGCTGCACCCTGGCCCTACACCCTAAAGCGGGGAAGGTTCGAAATCCTCAATCCTCGACCCCAGATTCCCAGACACTAAGCCCCAAACCCTAAACCCAAGCCCCTCACACCTCAAAGTCGTACACCCTAAAACCCTAAACCCTAAACCCTAAAACCCTGCACCCTAAACCCGAACACCTTGAACCTTCAACCGCAAGCCAAGGTTCATCCAACTTCGAGGGGTCTGCCTGGTACTGTGTGTACAGACCTGGGCCGGAGCTGCAGTTTTGGGTTTTAGGGTTTTAGGGTCTGTGGGGTTTAGGGTTTAGGGTTTAGGGTTTAGAGTTTTAGGGTTTGTAAGGTTTAGGGTTTAGGGTTTAGGGTTTTAGGGTTTAGGGTTTAGAGTCTTAGGGTCTGTGGGGTTTAGGGTTTAGGGTTTAGGGTTTAGAGTTTTAGGGTTTGTAAGGTTTAGGGTTTAGGGTTTAGGGTTTTAGGGTTTAGGGTTTAGAGTTTTAGGGTTTGTAGGGTTTATAGGGTTTAGGGTTTAGGGTTTATAGGGTTTAGGGTTTTAGGGTTTATAGGGTTTAGTCTTTTAGGGTTTAGGGTTTTAGGGTTTATAGGGTTTAGGGTTTTAGGGGTTAGGGGTGAGGGTTCATAGGGTTTAGGGTTTTAGGGTTTAGGGTTTTAGGGTTTAGGGTTTAGGGTTTAGGGTTTTAGAGTTTATAGGGTTTAGGGTTTTAGGGGTTAGGGGTGAGGGTTTAGGGTTCAGGGGTTTAGGGGTTTAGGGTTTTGGGGTGGGTCGGTCAGGAGCCGATAATCAGATTAAACCCTGTTCCTTGACAGGGTTCTACAAGCATCACGATCGGTTACTATGAGGATCTAGTAGAGGGGTATGCATACTTAGAATGGGGACTTGGGGTATCTATTTTAGTGTAGTCACAATAAGGAGCCCTAAGGGATAGTATTTTCAAAATTCCAACACCTATATCGCACGACTTCCCGGATAAGGGCTTGAGGTTTCCGGTTAGGGCTACATACCCTAAACCCTAAACTAAACCCAAAGGGCTTAAGAGTTCAGGGTTTGACCTCAGGGTCTGCAGGGCCAGGGTTCAGAGCTCAAAAGCGGCATAAGTTACAAGTTGTGGGCTCAAGTGCCAAGGGTTTCAGTAAAGTATCCGAAGCTTAAACCCTAAACCCTAGAATCGTTAAACAGAATCCATGAAACAATAAGCCCCCCAAACCAAACCCTAAACCCCCATGTCTCTGGTTTAGGCCTGAGGACATAGGTTGAGCGAGGTTGGCCAGTCAAATGATCGTCTTGCAGAGTTCCGCTTGTTTATCTAAAGGTAAAGGCTTTCAGGTTTAGGGTTCAGGGTTCAAGGCTAGGGTGTAAGGTTCAGGGCTGCGGTGTAGGATTTAGGGTTTAGGGTTCAGGGGTTAAGCTTTAGGTTTGAAGGTGCAGGGTTGATTGCATGAGCACGGCGAGACGAAGTCCTGAGCATCAGCACTGCCTACAGATTGCGATGCCATGGAAGTTACAGGGGAACCACTCAACATGCAGGTGCCTGCGAAGTTTCCAAACACTGCCCTAATCAATAGGATGCGCAGACAGCCTCCTGGCACGGTGAACAGACGGTTGAGGTTCGATTATTCCCAATGTTCTGCAACGTGGTCACGTTTCGGGGCTCATATTTCCGCGCGCGTTGACTGCAATAAATGTCAAATGAACCCACACAGGACGCCCGAAACCAAAAACCCTAACCATTGAATCCCAAATCAAGCTCCGACACCCGGAAAAAATCGTAAACATTTGTAGATGCCGGGGAGCTCTCCAGGTAGAGTGTGTTGGTCGAGGAGGCTACGTCCTTCCCACCGTTTAGGGGTTTAGGGTTTAGGGTTTAGGGGTTTAGGGGTTTAGGGTTTAGGGTTTAGGGTGTGGGGTTTGAGAAGATTTGGGTGTCGGTGATGTGGGGCCGTAGTTACAGAATCACGCGGGCTAGTGATCTTGGCAACATGCGATGTAGAGGAGTCGTGCCAAGGCCTAGATTTTGTGAGTGGGGTTTTGGGCGAGCCTGCAGATGAGATGCAAGTGTAAAGTAAAGCATGTAACTTACTTCTCCGATATGCCAAGGAAATACAAGGTTAAACTTTCAGATTGCTACTAAACTATGGGAACCCAAGAAGTTTAAGGGACTGGGTATCGGAGAACTAAGACAACTCACCCGAAAGTTCATCTTGAGGAGCCGAGTCTTGGACTAAAGTCAGTTTGTACTTCAAGCGAGCTGGGGTTTAGGGTTTAGGGTGTAGGGTTTAGGGTTTAGGGTTCAGGGTCTCGGGTTCAGGGTTCAGGGTTTGGGCTCGTCCCGGGGTTCAATCCGAGGGGTTTGGAAGTCATATAGGCACCTGACTCCTTCCCCCCTTCCTTTACGACCTTAAGGGGAGTAATATCAGCATGGCCAGTGTAGAAACCCCGAGACACATAGGGTTGAGTTTCCGGCCCGTCTACACCTCAGAAGAGCACTGAGCGGCCAAGTCAGGTGCCCAAACCTTTGGGTTCTACAGTAATTAGCTGCCAAAATCCACTCAGTTAACGGAACCTGGTACCTAAAACTGTCCTACTGAGGACTTCATGGAGGGAATTTGGGATCTAAACCTACTAGTACTTGGACCCTCTGGGGAAAGCTTCCTCTGAAAGCGAGATACCCCAGTCCCACCTTAAGGGCTACAATCTGCAGCCCCTGAAGTGAACTTCGACAACCTTAGCCACAGACCCCCAATCCCACAGCCCTGAAACCCTAACCCTAAACCCTAAACCCTAAACCCCAAACCCCACACCCTAAGCCCTCAAATCCCTAAATCTCCAAGCCCTTCAACCAGACTCTCTAGCAGCACGTAGGCCTCTAGAAGCGCTACTACAGTCTCCAAATCCAGCACCGACAAACTCAACACATCTAAACCCAAAGGACCCTAAGTGCCTATATGGGGGATACTTACCCAGAGCATCTTAGTCATTCCTACTACAGAAGCCCTACCTCCTACTAACTGGGCAGGTACTTAGGACCCTTTGGAAAGGAAGCGTGTAGCTCTCCAAAACGAGGGTCCCCTTTGAGGGTTTAGGGTTTAGGGTTTAGGGTTTAGGGTTTAGGGTTTAGGGTCCCCAAATAGTACGACACCCTTGTTAAATAAGGGTGCTCAAAGGACCCTATTTTAGATAACTACCCATCTAGTACCCCTAGTAGAAACCCTGCAGACACCCTTATGGACCCTTTTGGGGAATTTTAAAAGGGATCCCTACCCGTAGAAACCCAACGGAAACCCCTATAGATCCCTTTAAGGAAACCTAGAAGGGACCCCTACGCATGAAATACCCCTATAGAAACCGTTATAGATCTCTTGAAGGAACCCTAAAATGTAAAAGGGACCCTACTTTAGAGAACTACCCAAGTAAGACGCCCAACCTCATGGAAGTTACGCCGGCCCAGGGGCGCCAGTAGGGGAGGCCTGCCCAAGGCTCTGCAAGGGGATGCATGAAGCGCCTTTAAACAGGGTACTGTAGGGTTTAGGGTGTAGGTATAACTTATCAGAGTCTGATTAGGGTTTATAGGGTTTTTCTAGGGTCTCGGGTTTAAACTTATATGCGAATCTTATTTATGGAGGTTTTGGGTGTTATAACATATCAGGGATCCAAGAAATTCTGCTCTGTATCTGTATGCTTTCGGGTTTAAGGTGGGAGTAGGTGTCAGTGGCACTTTGCCAGCGGTTTCAGGGTTTTCGGTGCAGGTGGTCTCCCAGACCTTACACCCGTCCTTCACCTTCAATCCCCTGGGCCTAAACCCTAAAACCTAATGCAAACCCTAAAACCCTAAACCCCTGAACCTAATGCAAAACCTAAGCCCCTAAACCCCTAAACCCGAATCACCCTCAACTAAACCTTAAACCGGTAACCCGAAGCCCTAGACCCTCAGCCGTCCTGAGCTGAAAGGCTTTCGGGAGTTTCAGAAATGATAGAACCCTCAATGACAGGGAAGCCGAAATAGGGCAACGTGGGGGCCTCAGTTGCATTCTTCAGAGTTTCTCTTTGGCTTTAGGGTTTAGGGTTTAGGGTTTATAGGGTTTAGGTCTGTTTGGCAATCGAATATTGCGTTGGTAAGGGTAGGTTTCCCCCAGCTTTATGTAGTTTTCTGCAGCTGTGCGATGTGTGTGTGTGTGTGAGTGTTTCTTGAATTCCAAGCTTGGGTTTTAGTCTCATTGTTTTCTTGTTCGCGCTGCAATGAGCCTTTGGCCCCTTTTGCGATGACAGTCTTCATAATGGTGGAGCCGAACAAATTAGAATGGGGTTTTGGGGTATCCTGTGCTAGACTTATAATAAGGAATCCCCAGAATAGTTTAGGTAATTATTAAGAATTAAGGCCCTTATATTGAATGCGCACCTGTGTTGCCAGTAACAGGCTGCTTGAATGGGTCCTCCTCCCCCAGGCTCGCTGCTCAGCTACGACATTGCTTAGTCGTTTGGGGTTTTAGGGTTCAGGGTTTAGGACGAAAGATTCAGGGTCCACGTCTTCGGGGTCCATGTTCTGGGATCAGAGCCCTAAGGACGAAATGCACCCTAAAAGGGTTTAAGGTTCATGTAACACATAGGGGTTCATAGTCTAAGGGTATAGGGCCCCTATCCTTAAGGGTCATTTCGTCCTTAAGGAGCTTTGCAGATTGAGGCGGGGCCCTAGAGTCCTAGAGGGTTCGGCCTGGGCCTGACAATGAATCTCGCGGAAAGCAGATCCCACTGATCCTCCACTCTAAGCATTCCGGGTTTGGGGCTTCAGGGCTTAGGGCTCATCCACCAGAGCCTGAGCCCTAAATTGAAGCCTATTCCCACAACGCGAAAATAGATTTGCATCCATTTCCGGAGCCCTTCTCCTCACAGGTTCCCAGAAACGGGCAACAGTGATGCAAAACTCCTGACTCAAACTTCCTTCGTAAACAGGATCGTGTTGAACAACACAAAGGGCGGCAAAGTCCGTGTCGGCTGCAACTTCATATAGAGGCCTAAATGATTAACAATACTACTTGGGGGGGGGTTCCTTACTATAGTATAAAATGCCACCAAACCCTATTCTAGTCATGAAAGCCCTTACAGTAGATCCCAAGCTTTGGGGTTTTCGCGCAACGCGCATATAAACTACGAAACCAAAAGCCCAAACCCCAAATACCTACACCCTGAACCCTTAACCCTAAAACCCTGAAACCTAAAACCCGAATAACACCCTAAAGCCCTGAAGCGAAAACCCTGAACCCCAAAACCCTACCACCCTGAAGCCCTGACGCCCAAAAGCCCCAGATAGCCAGAACACCGAAGCCCTAAACCCTAAAACCCTACCACCCTAAAGCGTTAAAGCCGTGAAGCCCTAAACCCTTCCTTAAGAACGAAATGCACCCTAAAAGGGTTTAAGGTTCATGTAACACATAGGGATTCATAGTATAAGGGTATAGGGCCCCTACTTTTAAGGGTCATTTCGTCCTTAAGGTTAAGCC